GCAGGGTACCCGGAACCGCTCACCCCTAGGCAGGGGTGGATGATGTCTTTTCCCCGCCCTGTCTCGTATATAATATATAAAATTAAAAATTATATATATATACTTTTCACTAATACCCATATATTTCACCTAATTACATAATTATCCTATCTATATAAACCTATATTTTCCCAATTTCCCTCACCCTAAACAATTGAACAAGAACTAACCCTAACCCATATTTATGTATAATTAATTATGTTTAAATGATTAATCTAAGTGTTTGTTATGTGGACGAGAATTAACTATTGTGTTTGGTAATGATCAAATTAATTTATATTTATGTAAAATTAACGGGGTGGGGACGGGCCTCCAACATTTTCCTTTGGGGCGAGGAAGGGAAATTCTTGTCATCCCCGTAATGGGGATAGAGCGGGGGTGGGGAGTAATTTTGAGGGCGGTGATAAGTACGGTGAATGAGGTCCCTGCCCCGCCCCATTGCCATGCCTAATTACAAATGACCTTTCAAAATCAAAGTAAATTAAAGTCAACTATGCCATTTCAATCCACTTAAAAAAAAGGGAATATAATGATTCTTCACTTCTTATTTAATGCTTTATATGCTATCAAATAACTAGCAATGATGTTATCATCTTTTCTTCAACATTTTATTAAAGATTTTAATAAATTTAATAAAATCGATTTTTTAAGGATACATCTACCTCAGCCTTTTCATATTAAAAATAAAAAAATTAAAAAAAAAATTCATGTCTTAATTCATAAGTAATATGACATATAGGCTATTGCTATACGCTAAACTCAAAACCAAAGCAATCGGATTCAATTTAAACTCTGAATTGTAAGGATTTTATCAAATTTATTCATTATTCTTTATGTGAGGCTTGAATTTATTCATTATTCTTTAGCTAAAAGTTATTGCTTGGAATTGGGAGTTTTGGGATTTTAATTTGTAAGTTTGTCGAGATAAGTGACATCAGAGTTTGAGGAGTGTTGTCTACTCCTTTCTTAACGATATTTGTCTCCCTCAACAACTAGAGCTGCCATATTTTTAAAGTTATGTATGGAAGATTAAGATTTAATTGGAGTAGAGTGATTTTTTTAAGTGACCGAGGGTTTCTTTATATAGACAAAATGTGGTAGACATATTGTTACTTAGAGTTAGGCAACTTGAGTGTCATTAGACTCATCACACACAACGTACAAAGTCAACAACTGGATATAAATGGGCGATGATGAACTATTGGCACCTCAATTCACTTAAATGTATGTTTGAATCTTATCCAAAATAAATGGGATACTCATTTATCAATTAAGGAAGACGATTATACAATACTCCTCATCCTCAAGCTCTGATCTCACTCATCTCGAGGAATTTACAAATTAAATCCCAATTCCAAACAATAACTTTTCGCTAAAGTCACATTTCAATAACCTGTAAATAGGGATTAATAAAAAAAAATGGTGGGTAATGGAAGGTGGACAATGACGCCATGCTTTACATTTTTCTAAAGAGTTAATGACTTTTTCCCACCCAAATAATGGGTTAATGATGTTTTCTCCCCATAGACTTTTAAATATCATTTATTATCTAAATTTATATTCTGACGACGAATAGAGAGTAAACTCGTTCCAGATTATTTGGGCTTTTGAAGATAAGAGATCAATGAGCCTTTTGGTGATGAAAGGTTAGATTTTGATGGTTGGTATTGATCAGAATTTGACTTGGGAGGAGTGACTGCGTAAACCCTAATCACTCAGTTGTCGGCGATTGGTGAGGTCTATAAGAATAGGGTTTAAAGGGTTTTAGTGAGTGATGATTGGGGAAAAGAATGGTGGTGGTGCTAATAACTTTTGGCTAAAGTCAAATTTAAATAACCTGCAAATAGGGATTAATAAAAAATGGTGGATAATGACATATCCACAATGACGCATGCTTTATATTTTTCTAAAATGGTCATCCCCATTTTGGTGGTTCTAACCATAGTCTTGTGTTGGCATTGTGTAATTGCTAGCTTCTATTTTAACTGAACTTCCCTTCCAACTTCACTAAATATCATAAATTTCTATGACATGTATACTTTGTTATAAATATATAGTAAGAATTAACAATAATAAATACAATAAATGAATAAATATAAATAAGCCTCTCATGTTAGAGAGAATTCTTTACAATTAAGAAATTAAATTGAAACTGATTGCTTTGGTTTTGGACTTAAATGTATATATGTTAAATTACTTATTAATTAAGACATAAATTTTAAAATAATTTTTATTTTTTAATATAAAAAGACTGAGGTAGATCGATGTTAATAGTCTTTTTATAATGAAGAATAGATGATAACATCATTGCAAGTTATTTGATAGCATATGCAATCATTAAATAAGAAATGAAGAATATATATATCCTCTTTTTTTCATTGACTTTTCATTGCTTTCATTTTTAAAGGTCATTTGTGATTGCTTTCATTATAGTTTTATATTATATAAGAAATTTTATGTAAATGGAGAATTACAGAGGTATTTTTGGAGCTCAGATCCTAAATGAAAACTTTTTAAACCTATGTAAACCCAGCCCATCAAGCCATGCTTGGTAATAGCAAAATTCGAGCCAGGCGTAGTCAATTTCTGGACCAGCCCATCCTAATTTACTCTCCTAGAGTTCCGACCTTCAGAGTTCTTTTCAGAATCCTAACTACAAAATTTCAAATGACCTTTCAAAATCAAAGTAAATTAAAGTCAACTATGCCATTTCAATCCACTTAAAAAAAAAAAAATGAATATACTGATTCTTCAATTCTTATTTAATGACTTTGTATGCTATCAAATAACCAGCAATGATGTTATCATCTGTTCGTCAACATTTTATTAAAGATTTTAATAAAATCGATTTTTTAAGGTTACATCTACCTCAGTCTTTTTATATTAAAAAAAAAAAAAAAAAAATCATGTCTTAATTCATAAGTAATATAACTCATAGGCTATAGCTATACACTAAAGTCTTAAGTAATATAACATATAGACTATCGCTATACACTAAAGTCCAAATGATATAGAATGTCTAACAGATGAATTATTGGAGAGAGTCGAGCGTCAAAAGCTGAAACACGGGCGTGCCAACTTAAAACAATTATAACTTTTGATTCTAGAGAAGTTACGGAACCTATAAGATATCAACGAAAAACTCATTTTAGTCCGACAACATGGAACCTAGTTTCCCGATTGGAGGTTGTTTTCGAGACCAAAATCCACTATTTTTGCGCGTTTCAAGCCCGTTTAAAAGTTTTCAACACATTTTTCTTCTTTTATTTAGAGTATTTTCGTATTTTATAATTAGTCAACAGTGAAAAATTCTGTTTTAATTAATTTTCGAGTTTAATTATGATTTTATTTTCTTGTTTAATTAGGAATTTTGTTATGGTTGGTTGTCACCACCCTATATAAACATATTATTAATTTTTTTTAGATATAGAAGGATTTTCAGATTTTCCTTCAAACTTTAGGAATTAAGTTTATGTGATTAAGATTTGTTTATCAACCTTAAAGGCATAATCAGTTGATAGTCTTGTTTTTACGCCAACTCACTGTGCCACTACACCTAAAACCAAAGCAATTGGCTTCAATTTAAACTCTGAATTGTAAAGGATTTTAACAAATCTATTCATTATTCTTTATGCGAGGCTTGAATTTATTCATTAATTATTATATTTAATTATTTATTATTGTTAACCATGAAACCTTGGCTGATTTTAGGATTTGTTTGCGTTATAATTCTTATTGATTATTTATTTACAAAGTATATATATGTCACAGAAAATTATGATATTTAGGAATTAGTTAGGATATTTAGCTAAGTAGAAATGTAGAAGGGAAGTTCAATCGAAAAAGAAGCTGGCTAGCAAGTAAAATGAAATTAAGAATAGCACCACCAAGAGTGGGAATTGATAAGACCATTTTAGAAAAATGTAAAGCTTGGTGTCATCATCCATCTTCCATTCCACCATTTTTTATTAAACGTCTAGTTGCAAGTTATTTTTAAAGGTGGACTTTAGCTAAAATTATTGCTTGGAATTGGGATTTTTGGGATTTTAATTGTAAGTTCTCGAGATAAGTGATATCAGAGTTTGAGGAGTGTTGTATACTCCTTCCTTAATCGATAAAAGATCACGTTGATTGTACTGGATTTGTTTTCAAAATAATTTGGGACATATAATTCATCATCAACCAATATTTCCAAATGTTGACTTCGTTCATTTGTGTGATACTCAAGCTACCTTATTCTACTAAGCAAAAAGTCTACTACATTTTGCCTATATAAAGAACTCTGTGTCCACACAAAATATTCACTCTACTCCATTAATCTTAAACTTGCAAATATAGAAACTTAAATGGCAGCTTTAGTAGTTGAGGGAGACAGATATCGTTCTCTCCTACATGGGAAGAAAGAAAATACCAAATGGAGGTTTGGTACCCTTCCTAACTACAATACTGCAACAAACTCTTTGAAGAAGGCAGAACTAAGGTCTCTTATACGTTCTCTTTCATATAAATTCTATATATGTTTAAATTATTCTCTACTTTATATGTGGATTTTTTATTACTATAGAGATCACCAATCTAACTTGTTTATATATTCTGCATGGAAGGTATGGCCTGCTGGATCACTTGAGAAAAGTTGCAGAACCTTGCCAAGTCATGGGAAATGGAAATGATCCAAGACTCGTATTGAAGACTTCAAGACAATTGATACCAACAGTTTACTTTCACCTCAATGGTTATATAATTATTAACACCAAATAATAAACACTTAAGCAACAATTCAAAAATGAATTAGTTTTTGCCATGTCTTAATGTATCTATATATATTTGAAACATGTACATGTTGATCATGATTTACAGGAAGAAAGCTCAAACTATTGAAAAATAAGTAAGCTTGATGGAGGGTATGGCCTAAATTGGCAACTTCCCGCCAAAGGAGTTAAGGGTGTACAACCCAATTGATGATGAAACGCAGCTTCATATATGAAGACTTTCTCAACAACATTCCCAAAGGATTTGCTATGGAGTTTCTCCAAGTTTATAGTGGCCCTCCAGTTATTGCTTACAAGTTCAGGCACTGGGGTTTCATGGACGGTCCTTTTAGAGGGCATGCCGCTACTGGGGAGATGGTAGAGCTCTTTGGCATGGCCATGTTTGAGGTTATTTTACGTCTCTGCTAAATTGACTATCGTGATTTAAGTTCTTCTGTGTATAATACTATATAAGAATAATACTATAAGTACTAAAAAAAATGTATTCTTTTTCAATGTGAAACAGGTGGATGAAGATATGAAAATTGTGAAGGTGGAGTTCTTTTACGATCGTGGAGAATTGCTTGCTGTTCTCCTCAAAGGTGCCAAAATAGATGGATCATATTCATCTAAAGAAGCAGCAGCACCCTTAAGCTGCCCTGTTCTCAGGAACAATTATAATGGCTGGCGAGTATTGCCATGCCAACTTTCATAGTACAAAAATAAATAAAGGAAATCTCAACTTAACTGTTCTCAAGGCATGTGTTAAAGTGAATTTCATGATCCACAATCTTACAAGAAGATACAATTTACAGTGGATGACGTGTTAAAAGCTGTAAAGTTTTATCCTTTTGTAAACTTGTGATACTACATAATTCCTTTAATATGTGTTTAGAGAACATATGTTAAGAGAACCTGTAAAATAATAAAATGTTTAATTAATCCTAATAAGATAAATAGAGAAAGGGAGTGACTATATAAATAATTGCGCTCATAGTGGGCACCTGGGTATGCAGTTTGAGAGATCCCTGTTCATCTGCAGTCAAGATTCAACCTGTAGCAGCTAAGTGACTTGCCTTTAATTTTCTTTTATATTGAAATTGTCATGCAGCTGTTTTAATGTATAATTATGTGTATAATGAATTTAAGTTTAACTAATCTACATGTCATTCTGTCTTAATCTATGGGTGCTTTACTTCCAAATTCAAGGCTATCATATTCATCGTCACTTAAGCTCTCAAACAACCATGGCCTTAACCCTTAAACGGCAATATATATAGAAAACATTCTTATCAGATTTTTTTAAAATTTTAAATAATTATTTATACATTTAATTTATTGTTACACTAAACAAATGATAGTATTAATTTAATCTGATCCAATTCTATTCAATTTACTCTAATCCAATATGAAAAAATTAATCTATTCTAAATAACGGATAGGGTTAAGTAATAAATTACTAAGCAAAGACAAACACATTATCTACTAAAATCATAAAATATTTTAATTATTTTGGATGCCGTGTCTTGAACTAGGGCTGATCAAAATCCAATCAGATGATTCAGATCTAATTAAAGGGGGTGTTTGTCTAAGCTTATAAGCTGGTCAAACTTGCTTATAAGCTCTAAAATTAAGCTGACCTGTTTGTTTATAATCTTTTTGAGCTTATAAGTTGAGCTTATAAGCCAAAAAAAATAAGTTGGGGGGAGGTACTTTTTTTTTTTGGCTTATAAGCACTCTGCTTATAAGCTAGTTTGACCAAGTATATTACCACATTATCCTTATTTAATTTTAAAATTTCATAGTATACCCTTGTTTAATGTAGTACCCCTTTTAGTCATTTTATAATAAAATGTACTTATAAGCCATATTTTACCAAACACGTCAACTACTTATCAGTCACTTATAAGTACTTTAACCAAACACGTAATTGCTTAAAATTTTAAATGCTTATAAGCTAAAATTAGCTTATAAGTACTTGTTGCTTATAAGCTAATTTTCATAAGCTCAGACAAACACCCCCTAAACCGACCAATCCAATCCAAACCGCTCCAATTTTGATGGTTTCGATAATTTAATTGGATTGGACTGGATTTTGATAATCCAATTGGGTTGTTAAATTTGCTGAGTAAATCCAATTTAAAACCAATCCAATCCAAGCATATAACTTTATAAATAAAATAAAATAAGTCTAAGGTCAAGTAAGTAAATAACATTTGACTTAAAAAAAATTTTGATTGTATATTAATCTTTTAAAACTTTTGTTTTATCTTTGCCAAATGAATAAAAAAGCCTGGAGTCAATTTCGTCATTTGCTATCTAGCGAAGTATTAAGTGTTGAAATGATATTCATATCTACAACATGGATTTAGTTTAACAATTTTAGTCCATTTTATTATTTGCAATTATGTGACAATGAATTTATTTTTGGTGTTTGATAAATTTATTGAATGTTGTTATTTAAGCCCCATCAAACCTCTTTCTAGTTCCAGACACCGAATTTAATAAAATTTATTAAATAAATTATGTTCACAATTGAATTCCAAAATTTTCCCTATCTTCTTCCTCTATTATTATTTTTAACCAGTAATGGTTATACAAATCTGTGAAATATATTATACAAATCTATGAACTACATGGAATTCTAAATACTATTGGTTACAAATCTATGAAATATATGGAATTCTAAATACTATTGGATACAACCATAAACAAAATCTTTAATCTACAAAACAAGAAAATATTTTCGTCATACTCTTAAGTTTTTTTTTTTTTTTTTTTTTAATTTTGAAACTTAAAATTATCTCGTATCTTTTACTCTTAATTAGTTTTGAATGAAAAAAAAAAAAAAAATTATTCGTATAATCAATCTTAAAGTATTAGTTTTATAATTTTTTTTTCTTCAGAAAACTTGTGAAAGTTTCCTCATGTTTCCTTGCTTGTGCAATAACAATGATATTGTTATGCCCAATTCCTGGATGGTCAGATTTGTGCCACATGTCCCTAAAGTATATCAATGCTCGACGACCAAGATCCTCCCACGTGACACCCCCTTGGTGCTTGACTTCCACCATAAGGTGATTATTGCCATAAGTATGGGTTAAACTGCCATTACCATGGTCCGGTCTACCACAAGCATGGGTTATACTAACTCAAATCCTAATTAGGAGGATTATACGTGCAAGAAACCCCATAACACCCACTCTCAACCATTGTCAGACGAGATGGGTATAAAAAGAGCCCGCGGCCTTCGTTTCAAACTTCGATTCTAGTGGTAGTAAAGTTTAGGAGATAAACACTTAGATAATTTTAGAAAGAGTTAAAGAGAGTAGGTCGAGAGAACCAAATTCATTGGTCTCATGGTCCCTTTTTAACCTCAGTAGACCTTGTAACACCCCAAAAAAATGACATGATAGTGGATGTATGTTTGGTTTTCATAATCGCTGAACCACTATAAAATTTCTCTTGTTCTTTGCTTTAGTATGTCGCTTCGACGACTTTGCTAGTTATCCGTAATCATGCACACATCTTGCTCGATTTCCTCTGGAATCGGCTGGATTTATCTGATTGGTATGAATTATCGCATCAATAGATATGGGTAGCAAATTAAATGCTGTATATTTAATTAATTTGTATCTCAATTACTTAATAAATGATATGACACATGCATTTAGAATAACCCAATAACGATGATAGGAACACCGAACACTTATTGGCCATATGTAAGATCCATGATTCCAAATGTAACATAAAGTCTAATTTGTTCTATGATACTCTATGCGAGTAAGCGACTTTTTCCTTTTCCTACCCCAATAATGGTCTAACGATACTTTTTCACCCAAAAAATTTTAAAATACAATTTTATTACCCAAAGCATAATTCTGTTAATAATGTTAATAAATTTCATTATGAAGAATAGCAGGATGATCAAAAGTCCGTTATAATGGTCAATTAAAATTATGCATCAAAAATCAAAATTTAAAATTCCACTTTGCTAAGAAAACAATGAACGACGAAGGAGGGATGCAATTTATGACCGACGAACAACAAGTACGAAGTTTCGGGGTTTGAGAGGTTTTGAAGAGGGGAGGTTAGAGGTTAAAGGGTGGTGGAAGATTGAAATTTGGCCGCTTGAATCAGGCAGAATCGACGCAAAAAAGGGAAACCCTAACTTGCGGTGGCCGACGAACGATGGGGTAAACGATGTGGGGATCAAGGGGGTTTTGGTTAAGGGAGAATAGAGAATCTGGTGGTGGTGATGGGGAAGGTCAACGACACCGAATTCCTGCCAAATTGACCAAAGATGGCAATGCGAATGTTAGGAATTGATCTACCCAATGTAGCGGAAAAATAAAAATAAAGGATAGATCAATGGCCCTTTTTTTGCCAAGATCCGGGTATCGATTAAATTGCTTACATGTTAAAAACCTAGTTAGTAAATACGTGTATAAAATACGTATTTATGTATTTTACAAAGGACTACCGAATTATTCGCGAATTATTGGAGTATCCGTATAATTCGCGAATTTTTGAAAAAAAAAAAAAAAAACTAATTGGAATGACGTCGTTTTAGTGGGGAAGAAGAAATCAATGGTAAGGTGTAAGAGAAGAGATTGGAAAAGGGGGGAATAAAAAAATAACCCTCTCAAAGACATCCATTTTCCCGCCCATTCCCCCACACCTGACACCCTTACATTTTAAACTCAAAACACATACAAAATCATTTCATATTTTAAATTATTTCCATGCTATCTAATAAATTAGATTGGATTAATGAAATTAAAATAATAATTTATTGTGAAAAAAAAAACTGTCATATATTATAGGTATAAAATAATAGTTAGACTATTGTAACACTAATCTTTTATATAGATTTGTGTGACAAAATTTTAGTTTTTGATTTAAATAATTTAATGGATTAATGGGAAGTTAAAATTGTTTGCATTTAATATCAAACTTATCAAGTTTTAAATTAGTAAAAAATCATGGCTAAATATTGTGTTTGAGTCTGGAGACTATAATTTGAATATCAGTTATATATTGTATATTTGTGTTATTGGTTAATTGAATATTTTGCATTTGAAATACTATATTGATTTTAGTCAAGTAATCCATAAAAGTATTAAAACTAAGATTGATATTGCCGTATTTTTCAAAACGTATTATTGACAATGCACCATATTAAACTTGTACCGTATTTTTCCCGTATCCAAATTTTATAGTCGAATTTTTATAAACGTATTTTTCACTGTTTGCCATATTATACCCGTAAAATTCCCTTACCCTGTTTTTGCCGTACCCGTATTTACTAACTAGGGTTAAAAACAAAATTTTTGTACAAAATAAAATAATACATTCAAAGAATCAGGAATCTTACACACGTTTGAAGGCTCCTTCAAGTATCTATGATTTTATTTCGTTACTGATTCAATATAGAATTACACGTACGTTGATTCATACGAAGATAATCCGAAGAACCAATCGTTGTTTTGTTAAAACAACAAGGTGGCTTCAAGAATCAAAGATCTTCAAAGAATCAAGAAGAGAAAAATATTTCTCTTCAATCAATGAACAAGACATGAGAGAGAGAGTGGGTAGGTGGCTGGGTTTTTTTTATTGAATGAAATTGTTATATTGTTTTAATTTTAAGTTGCACTTATATAGTGTAACAATTAAAACTGTATTCCAATAAGGAATAGTCATGGACTCCAACCT